TCTCATTCTCGTTGCCCAGCTCCATGCGAAGCTCATTGATGGTATTCTTCAGTCTCGTTGATTCCTCCGCACTTTCACTGGCCGCCTTCCGCATCTGATTCTGCAGGGCATCGATGTAGAAGTCTTTGTGCATCAATTCCTGCTCATGTTGGTTCTTCATCTGCTTGAACTCGGACTCCCGCGCCTGCAACTTGCCCTTGGTGGTCTTGTAGCTATTGAGCAGCCGGCCGATGTCGGGAATGGCATCCTGGATCCTCTGGAGAAGCTCAATAGGCTCTTCATGTTCGTGCGGAGGCGAGATGGTACCTCCTTTGCCATTCAGAGGATGGCCATTGCCGAATCCCAGGTTCTGCAAAGCCTGGAAGGATGCAGCCGACCCGGGGTCTATTGAGCCTCGAGGGGTCGGGTGCATGTTAGGGGAAGGCTGGTAATAGGCATACTGGGGAAGGAAGCCATTGGCGCTCATGATAGGCGAGTGATAGGAGGGGGGGTAGGGCGGTATGGCGGTTGGCTGTTGATGCATCCTCGCCGTCATTGGCGGAGGAGCCATTTGTGGAGACATCATGGGAGACATGTGCCCACGTGCTAGAGGACTGCTGACTTTCGGAACAGGTGAAGCGGGTTTCGCGACAGGCGAGACGTGTTTCTGTACGGGTGACACGGTCTTTTGCACAGGTGATGCAACCTTCTGCACTGGAGAATATTGTTGCACGGCGGGTGAAGCTGATTGAAATACGGGAGAAGCGCCTGGCGGTGTGGGAGAGGCACTCCTTTGCGACAGAACCGTTGCTTCCCGTATTGGCGAGGCGGGTTGGGCCATCGGTGAGGTATACTGCTGCACCGGAGAATGGTAAGGTCGAACTGGCGACGCAGATTGGTGCACCGGTGAAGTGGCACGTGGTGTAGCAGCAGCGCTCTGAGGACCAGGCGACATAGACTTGAAAGATGGGGATGCAGTGCGTTGGATTGGTGAACCGCTTTGGGGAATCGGAGAACCAGGCTTCGAAGCGGGAGTAGCGCTCGAGGGGGCGAACGTATCAGAGAAAGGAGTAGGCTGAGCGACTACAGTGTCGGCGAAAGGCTCAGACATTTCAGGAATATGCGAGTAAGTCTCTGGAGCTCCGGTGTTGGAGCCAAAGGATGCTGCCACGAATGAGCTGTCCGCCTGGGGCTGTGGTTCTTCCAAGGGCTCCCACGACTGGGTCGGGACGAATGAAGAATCCAGCGGTGTCTGCGGTGCTGTTACTGGTGTCTCCTCAACTGTTTCAGCGGCACCGCTAGCTTCAAATTGGAAAGGGTCGGTCTCGTGGTGCTCCTCAGCGTCACCCGCGTGTTGTTCCGATGTGCCTATTTCCTCCCAGCTCGACTCTTGTGGCTGTTCAGAATAGGTCTGCACATCGTTCACGTCGGATTGCTCAACTTGGGCGGGCTCAGGAACTTCCGGTTGCTCGAACCCACCCTCCTCGTTCGCCGGCGACTGGACTGGTGCCTCGTCTACGGGCACAGTCGAGTCTGGCTCGACGGAAGCCTGTGGTTGCTCCAGTTCTGGTTCTTGGTTTGGCACCGACTCTGGCTCTTGTGCCGGTTCTGGTACGGTTTCAGATACGGGCTCTGTTTCTGCCGGCTGTGATTCGATCGGCGCCTCAGCTGCAGGTTCAGCTACAGCTTCAGTTTCGATTTGAGCTTCGGCTTCAGTGGGCGGTTGTTCGTGTTGCTGCTCGTCAGGTTGTATGTCTTGCTGTTCTTGCAGACCCTCTGGTTGCTCTTCTGCTTGTTCCGATGTGGGCTCAGGCTGAGCTGTCGGTGGCTCCTGAACTTGCTCTTCTACTTGCTGGGGCTCTGGTACCGGCTCTTCAGTGGAGACCTCTGGCTGCGATTGCTCTTGCTGCGGGTCTTGCTGGTTCTCCTGTTGGACCTCTTGTTGGCTCTCAGGCTGGACCGCTGGCTCCTCAGTGGAGAGCTCAGGTTGAGGTGCCTCTGGTGGTGGTTGTTGTTCCTCTGGCTCTGCTTGTTGTTCTAGTTGCTGTTGTTGTTCCTCTTGTTGTTCTTCTTGTTGTTGTTCAACAACAGGAGGGTCGGGCTGAGGTGTCTGATTACCAGAGGCCTCTTGGTTCTTGCCCTTCTTATTCTTTTGTTTGTTACCGGACTTGCTCTTCTTGTTAGCCATGGTGGGCGATAGTGATGCGTGCCCAAGTTAGAATAAGGCTGTAAGACGTGTTCCCAATAGCTAAAGAAGTAACACGGTCAGCGGAGACTAGATTGGGTGGCTGCGGGTTTAACACTGTACATTTGTAAGCGCGTTCGGCGGCGTCGTGATATATTCCGAGTTGATATAGATACAGAGCGAAACGCAGGGGCCCGACAAGGTAGGTGATAACACGGTCAGGCAGGAAAGAAAGTAAGAAAAAAAAAATTTAGGGGGTAAGGAGAAAAGAGAGGGAGAAAAAAATAATTAGGAGAATAGGGAAAATTGGAAAATAATGCTCAGGCCCGTTGAGCAGAATGTATGCAGGTGGGCGCAAATGGTAGGAATACACGGAAGACAAATCACCGGATGTCGAATGGCAAGTTTGCCAGTGGACAGACACTCCGGAAAGCCAGGATAGTTTTCCACACGCTGGCTCTTAAAATAGTTGAATTCTGAGGAATGGGATTCGAGAGAAGAGACGACGTTGGGGAAAAAGAGGGCAGCTAATAACCGGTTCCCAGTCACGCCCAAACAAGAAAAAAAACTGCATCTACAAAGGGCTCCGGCCAGCCTCAGGGGGGCTGGGCGAGGCGCGACGGCGGACCGAACCTTAGAGGGCAATTGATACCCATTCTACCAGGGAGTCATAGACCGTAGGAGTCCGACTAGGCGAGAGAAGGCAAGAGCACACACTTGGGTGCAAGAAGGGAGTCATCGGAGTGGACCGAGGCGTTTGAGTCGGGACTCGAAGCGGATCCAATCAGCAGGCGGTGTCACCAGCATTGGGCATCAACGACTCGATCATTTGGGGGTGGCAGGGTGAATCAGAAGACGAGCAGCGGAGCAAGCGTCCTAGAGCATGCTATTTCGAGAGTCCAAGAGTCCGAGCTCTCTCTCACTTTCAAACACCGCCGAGGGGAAAGAAAGAGAGCGAGATGAGGGGGGGCAAGTCGAGTGGGCGGGGAGTGGACAACGCTAACCAACGATCGATGACATGTCGCTGTTGATATCCAGACGTTTAGGAGCCCACATGAATTGGCAGAACCTGAAACCCAATTGCTGCCGCGCTAATCGCAAGCAGTGGGGAGCGCCATGTTGAAGTGAGGCAGTTAGCCATGCATCGGGACCACCCAGGGTGTGCGGTGTAGGAACACCATGACTGACGAGCCAACACAGCGACCCGCTCACACTTCACTGGATGGAACTGCCCCAACCCCCGTTCAAGGCGAAAAGGAGGATTGATTCCATGATCCCTCCAGGATGTTGCTGCAGGTAAGGCGAAGATCGGGAGGGTCTGACGGTCATCATATCATATTTGACCGACATGCAGGAGAGTTTAGGCCGACAGATGAGGGGAGTGGAAGAAAGGATGTGTTTGCACCGTAAGATGTCCGGGGCTGCAGGAAGAAGAGTAACTAACAGGAAAGATTTACTTGCTCACTGACCAATCCACATGACAGTTGACAGACCGACTTAGTCATGGCATGGCAGCCTTACTGTTGTCCTAACTAGGCTAACCAGTTTTGGATCCTCTATGCTCTGTTACACTAGTCCCAATATGGCACAAATCACATGACTCACGATCACTGGAACTCGACCAATCAGCCCAAACCCAATCCAGCTTTCCAATCACGTGCACTCCGCCTCGAACCGCCTTTCTGCGCTTTCAACCTCCCAAAACCCCCCCGGCGACGACGACATCATAACTCGATCCGGCGCTGCCAATTGTCTACCTCCACACCATGTTCTTCGCTAGGCGATCGGTGGCTTCGGCGCGGCTCCTTCTGCGGAACCAGCAGCCCCGGCGATTCGACTCGCACGCAGCTCACCATGCCGAGCCTGTGAACGAGAGCTTCGGCGTACGTTCTCTCCCCTCCTCCAATGGGAACGCAAATGAACCCTCCCTACTACCCTCGCCCGACATTCACATCCCATTATACCCATTGTGGCATTGGTTCCTGCATGAACGAATAAGCAAGGCTCTCAAAAAGCTAACATCCTGATCTTACGCACCCATACAGCGCAGTTTCTACGTCACCTTCGGCACCTTCGCGTCCGCCTTCGTCCTGTACCAGGTGGCCAAGTCGAACGATAACTCCGGCTCCCCGTCATGGATCACCAACCTCATCCACAAGTGGACTCCGGACGAGAAGATCTTTGAGCAGAGAAACGCTATCCACACGGCCGCTATGGAGAAGGTCGCTCATGACCGTCACTTGTTCGCGAGTCAGGGTCCTCGCGAATTCATTGAATTGAAGCAGCCTGAGTACGTCAACACTCTCCCCTTGCCGGCTTATGATGTCCGATCTGTGGTTGCTAATTGGATACTTTTCTCCCTTGGTATAGAGTCAGCTTCAGCGCCGTCGCTCCTTACAATGTCGCCCCCGGCCAGAGCGCCGATCTGAGCCATGTTGTCGCTCACTACCAGCGCCAGAACCAGGAGATGGAGGCCTCCCGTGTGGCCCGGATGCAGGACGGCAAGGTCGTGTCTCTTTATGAGTAGGCGAGCATATTGAACTAAGGAAAATGTGACTCTGTTATTGTTGTTTTTCTGTGTCATGAATATGTCGGTAATAGACATAGGAAGCAGGGCTTGTTGTACATATACCGGGCAGTGTTCAAGATTTTTTTTCTTTATCCTTTATTCTTATTTTCCGTTATCTATTGTCCGCAGATGCGGTTGTTGTCAGCATGGGTTTACTTACAGAGATGATCAGCTGTAATCGCAAGCCATAGTTAACCATAACCGGATTCATACTTCAACTAGCCACATAGTACTTATATAGTCTATATATACTAACCACGACCCTAACTAAACAGCAATATCAATATCAACTAAGCACACCTAACCCCCAAAACCACCCTCCCGACCCCCTCAGACTTAACATCCAACCTCTCCTGCACATCGACCTCGACCCCCAGAGTCCCAGCAACACCACCCAAAACCGCCAAAAACTCATCGACACCCCCACCAACCCCAAAATAGACCTTCTTGGCCGCGACCAACGCCGCCGCGCTCTGCTGCTGTCCTCCCGGCGCAGCACGACGCAACAAGGCGACTAACGTCTCGGAGAATGCCCCCAGCGACGCAGGCGAGTAGATAGTCTCGGAGGCGAGGACGAGTGTTTGGGGGTAAGGTACTTCCTGGTTGGAAGAGGAAGAGAAGACCAAGTCGACGAAAGCGGGCGACCAGGCACCGGAGATGAAGGAGATGGAGATGCCGCGAGCAGAGAGGTCTTCTTGGAAGGATTGGATGAGGGTGGGGGTTATGTCGAGGAGTTCGTCTTCTTCTGACTGTCCTTCGGACGGGGAAGGGGAAGATTGTGTGTAGTGATACCATGTTAAGAGGAGGTTAGGGAAAGTGACGAGACGGAGGACGGCAGAGTTGTAGTCTGCGAATGTGAAGTGGGTTCTTTTGTTTTGCTGCTGCTGTCCTGATGCTGGGTGAGAGAGGAGTTGTGCGAAGAGAGATAGTGATGGGATGGCGGTGCCGGCGCCGAGCTGGATGTTCTTGTTAGTATTCCATATGCTGGGTATTATTTAGGGTAGGTAGGTAGATACCTCAATGATATGTCTATCACCAGCAGCCGTCGACGCAGCCAGCTCATCGGTGTCAACAAGCACCTTGGCTAGGTCAACCGCACATTCCCAGGTCTTGAACCCGCCTTCGTAGAAGTTGGGCTTGATGTCGCCTTTTTCCAGACCGGCAATTAATTCCTCGTTGTTCTCGTCGGGAGTATCCTCGGCCATTAGTTGGGCGCGAATGTCGAAGATGTCCCGACGAGCGAGGGTGAGGTGCTGGTTTGCAGCAGTAGTTTTGGTGGGCAGTCTGAGCTTGTTGAATGAGATTTGAGATGGGAGTGTAGGGTTCTGTGGAGTGTTAGTTGTTGATACTGATGTAATATAGGGTAGGGTAGATGAGTGATAATATCTAAGTGATAGATACTAGAAGAGTGCCATATATTGAGTTACTCACCCATTCAGCCACATCATGTTTCTTAGCTGGGATCAGCTCCGGGAGTGTAGATCCCGCACCAGCATTCTGGTCATTGTTCGTCTCGTGAGTCTCGTTCATTTCCGTGTCATCGATGTCGATATCGTCCCCCGCAAAGCCGAAGCTGAATGTGGATGTCATGATGTATAGCGGATACGTTATCCACGATCAGGCCAAATCGAATAAATAAACTCTTCGGATATAGCTTAGCTTATTATGCTATGCACAGCCAAGTGAACAGTCTAGGAAGTAGAAGATGGATATCCAGCAGCGAGGTGGGGTATCCTATGATCTACTTCAATGAAGGATTGAATGATCCGAGCGCGATTTTGTTTTGAGAACAAGTTTAGGATAATCAATCTCGGAGTTGACTCTGTCTTCTTATCTCCTGTCTAGACAGAGTCCGATGTATAGTAGCTTGCCAATGCCTGAATCTCTTCTCTCGTCGCTTCATTCGTCCAAATTTTGCATTTTCGTTATCGGGATGACTAAGCAATGTGATTGGGTGTTGAAACCGGTCCTATACATTGCGTATAGATAAGGCGGTCTTAATATTAAAATTCTTTTTGAGTTTCAATGATAGTACTCTATCTTATAAAGAAGATCCGTACAACTACTACTTGTAGATTACTTGGCTTCAGAAGGTATGAATCTGGTGTCATGACCGGTCCGCGAACTGCCACGCAAGACCCTCTATCGTCTCACATTTATATATATCGTAGAAACGCTCTATGTATCGTCCCAAACACGCAGATAACGAAACGAACAAAAAGAAACACCACGAACCCTCTAAGCAGATCCGTTCTCGACCTTGGTCGCAGCCACGGCCTTCTCAAGAGCCTGAAGAGCATCGGCCAAGAGGTCCTCGGAATCCTCAACACCGCAGGACATACGGACGAGGTCATCGAAGACACCAGCAGCCTCGCGCTGGTCCTTGGGGATACCGGCGTGGGTCATGCTGGAAGGCACCTCGCAAAGAGACTCGACACCACCCAGACTCTCGGCCAGAGTGAAGATCTTGGTGTACTTGCAGAAGAGGTGAGCGGCTTCCTGGCCGCCCTTGATACGGAAGCTCAGCATACCACCGCCCATGCCGTTGCGGTGCTGCTTGACGGCAATGGCACGGTTGGGGTGAGAGTCAATGCCGGGGTAGTTGACGGCGATGACGTTGGGAGAAGCCTCGAGGGCCTTGGCGACGGCGGTGGCGTTGGTGGTGGCCTCGCGCGCACGCAGGTGGAGGGTCTTGAGACCACGGTGGGCGAGCCAGCAGTCGAAGGGGGAGGGGACAGCGCCGATAGCGTTCTGGAGGAAAGAAAGGCGCTCCTGCAGGCTATCGGAGTTGAAGGCAGCGACACCCATCAGGACATCCTGAGATTATTCATGTTAGCAAGATGCCCGTTGCTATTAGAAAAAAAAAGTGTGAGAGTTGAGCTTACAGAGTGACCGTTGATGTACTTGGTAACGGAGTGGACGACGATATCGGCACCGTGGTCCAGAGGGTTCTGAACGTAGGGGCTCAGGAAGGTGTTGTCGACGACAACCAGGATACCGTACTTGTGGGCGACGGCAGCGATCTTCTCGATATCGACCAGGCCGAGGGTGGGGTTGGAGGGGGTTTCGATCCAGACCAGCTTGGTCTCGTTGGGGCGAATGAGCTCTTCGACGTCGAGCTCAATGCAAGGCGAGAAAGTCACCTGGACGCCATGGGCGGAGGCAACCTTGGTGAAGTAACGGTGAGTTCCACCGTAGACATCGGAGACGGAGACGATGTGAGAGCCCGCGGCGAGAGACTGGAGGATGACGGCGGTGGTGGCAGAGCCAGAGGAGAAGGCAAGGGCATATTTGGCGTGTTCAAGAGCAGCAATGGCCTGCTCGAAGTTGTCACTAAATTCCAGCAGTCAATATCCATGCAATCAATGTATCTCAGCTATGGCGATTCCGTTCCGACTAACCGGTTGGGGTTGGAGCTGCGGGTGTATTCGTAGAGACCAACGGGGTTTCCGACGCTGGTCTGCGCAAAGGTGGTGGAGAGGGAGATCTATGGGCCAGCTGGTTAGCGCGTGCACCGTAGAAGTGAAGGCAGTGTTCGGAGAAGAATGCGAACTGACAGGAGCAATGACAGCGCCGGTGGTAGGATCATGGGGAGCACCAGCGTGGACGGCCAAAGTTCCGAAGCGGCGATCCTGAGGGGTCGACGCTCCGTTCTGAGTGGGGAGAGCAACCATTGTCACGAATGGAATATATACGAAATGGGGAATAATAGAAGTCAAAAAAAAAAAAAAAGCAAAAGTGAGTAAATCAGAACAATAAGTCGCTGATAGTCTAAATGCGCGAGTACTGGGGTCTTGTAGAGCAGTTGAATGCTTAAAGACAAGAGGTGGATGATGAAATCACAGGGCCCCTGCAAGACGCAATGCGGTCTAATATAAGCAAACTAACCCTTCAAGGTTTCTAGGGTTGCGATTTGTAATGGGCCAAGGAAACGAGAGAGAAAAATAGATCGGTGAGACGCAGAATCCCAGGAGTGAAAACGAGACGAGCCGCGCACAGAGAGAGAGGGGGCAAGTTTGCTTGAAAATTTCTGGCTGATGCCGGGTTTCTTTTACGTTGCGCAGACTGGATGCTGGAGGACTATAGGACGAAGTGGTCGAGAGGGACCCGCGCCGAGTTCCAGAATCTTTCTTCCCTTTCTTTTTTCCTTTTTCTCCACCCCGCCAGTTTATCGCCGCCTTTAACCGTCGCATCGCCGACGCCCTTCCGTGCTGACAGCCGCCTAGTTTAGTTCCACTTCTATTAGTTGAAGGTGTGTCTGCTTTGGCATTGTAAGGTGTCATTTGCATCCCTATCTCTATCTACGTACGCCCTGGTTTATCTAGAGTTTGCAACGGTGTCCCCCATCCGGCATGATTGCACGGTCGCTTGGTGCTGCAAGGGGAAGTAATGTTCCATGGTTCCTTGGGATGGGCTCATACCATCCCTTCATTTCGACATCAAGAATCACTATTGCGCCAACCTGAACAACTAGTAAAGCCAAGATCATGTCATTATTCGTCTATCGATGGGATTATCGATCTTCTCCCCTCTGCAACATCCATCCCAACGTGGTATATCCAATTCCTCCCATTTTACTTTTTCCTTTTCTTTTGAACCCACTGTATGTAAGTAGTAGTAGTAGTAGTAGTAGTAGTAGTAGTAGTAGTAGTAGTAGTGTACAATGCAATCCCATCCACGGGAAGCTCTCGTATTCTTCCTCTCCAGAACAAAGCAAGTCATCAATCACCACCATGAAATCGGACCCAATCCAGCCATTTGCATGGATCCCTATATCACATACATGTTAGATTGTCTTCAACATAAGATGATATACTTGAAGTAAGGCAAGTCACTCACTATAATCGAATAGGGTGGTTTCCGCTCGATAGCGGCGGCATCTCCTAGATCCGGCGCATTCGGGATCTGGTCGTGCCATTCTTCCATCTCAACGCGGAATCGAACAACTTCACCAACATCAAAGTAGAACGTGGAGCCATCTTCGTTCTCCCAGATCCAGACTTGATCCGCGTAGTCACTGATATCAGTTAGCAAGGTGGAAAATTGCAGAGCTAAATTAGGTGGTACACTCACAATCTGGCGCCATCCAGGAGTAGATCAGGAGGCACGAGAATATCGTTGAAGAATTCCACGGCAACTAGGGAGTGTCAGCATCACATTTTGACATATACATGGCATACACTGAATGCTCACCCTTAATGCCATGCTCTGTCGCACTCGAGATCTTCCCAAGCATGATCTCGCCCTTGAACGGGCGGAAGACAATCAGACGGAATTTGACTGTCACTAGGTCAGTTTCTCTGCTACACCATAAGACTAACATCGTAGATAGAGAAAGTAACATACCATTTACATTAACAAGTCCAGTACCATGGCCAATCAGACCATCTGAAGACTCTAGCAGGTCATAGAAACCAATACATAGGCCGATTTTTTGAATGACCTGACCACAACAAGGTCAACGATGTTCACTCACAAGCATGGCTCGCAGACCGTGCTAAACATGAAGCACATAATAAGAGGAGAATCACGCGCTGGTACATACTTTATTGGCATACTTCTCGTTGATGTTATCCTCGAGAGCCACAGCGCTATATTTGGAGAAATCCTCCGGGGATATCTGGATCAGATCCGAGATCGTAGTCTGTGAGATACAGGTCAGCTCATACTCAAATATAGGTATGCACTGGGTGCATATAGAAGTGGAAATAACAGTCGATCACTAACAAGAATGAACATGATGAATCGAGTCGCTTGACGTAGCGCCTCTCAAAGGGCCGGCGGGGAAGAAGAAGAAAAAAGATAAGGACGACGGAGATAATAAATTCTTCTCTTTCTTTCTTTCTATTCCAAGGCAAGCATTCGGGTGGGAGTATTCAAGTGGTCGGGACTCAATCCCATATTAGAAAAAAGCTAATTCAATTGTCCTCCATCCAGCAACCATTTTACAATTATTATTATATTGGAAATCACTTTTAGCAGCAGCGGCTCAATGCGAGAACCCCCGGCATCCAGCCAATGGCAGCCGGCGGATCTGCCATGAAATTTTTGCCTGGACAGTGAGGTTGGTCCCACGTGAGCGGCACGCGATTCCTGATTCTGCTCGGAACGGAACAACCAAAGAGGCTCTGTCACTGAATCTCTGGCCGCCTTTTATTGAGTTGCGCCCTCGTCAAGTCTTCGCAATGTCGGGAGGATGGCGTGCATGCTGTTTCTCTTCGAAGGTCGTCTGAGATCTTCTCGCCATGAACTCCCAGGGGTTCTCTTTTCCTCCTCCCCCTCCCCCTCCTCCCTCTCAACAACAACAACCGCAACAACCGCAACCGCAGCAGCAACAATACCGTCACCATAATGCCAACTACCCTTCGCAATATGGCGGTCAGGGATATCATGGTCAACGAGGTGGTCATGCTCATGGTGGCCACTTCAGAGGACGTGGGAGGGGCTATGGAAACCGGGGAGGCGCCCGTGGAGGTCACTTTATGACACCAGATAACCGCGCGTACCCTACCGCTACACCGTCTACTGGCTACGCTCAGATGAACTACTCTGGGTATGCCACGCACCCCAACCCAGCAGCCCAAGTCACTCCTTCGCCATCGCAAAATTACCAACGGGCTCCGAATGCTTCCTCCTTTCCTCCTTCGCAGCCTTATGCGCAATCCGCAGCCCGGGTGCCGCCTTACCAAGGCCAGCCTAACTATGGGGGAGCTTACACTTCGCCTACTGCTCAACCTGGGTCTATGTATCCTTCGGTCATACCTGCCCAGCAACCGGTCAACCAGCCAGTTCAGACGCCGATGGTTGCCCCACCTATGCGCTGGGGTTTTGAGCAAACGGGACCGGCAGGCTCCTTCGCCGGAGCTCAGCGCGGTGGACACTTCAACGGTTACAACGCTCAGTCACATAATGGGGATCGAACAGCACACTATGCCAACAAGCGCGATCATAATGCGGCCTTTGGGAAGCCCCAGTCCGTCGCACCCCGAGTTCCCGCACCGCCTCCGGTTCCCAGCTTCGGAAATCCTCTTCCCGTCAAACCCCCGCCACCAGCTGACGCCACACGGAAGCCAAAGAAGAAGAAGAGAAAGCGCAATCAGCTTGGGTTGACCCCGAGAACCGAAGAGCATGAGTCGAGCGAGGATGAAGACGATGTGGATGAAGAAGCGAGATTAGCCGGAGGAGCTGCTGCTGCCGACACCGCAGCTCTCAAGGTCACATATCGCGGAAAGACATCCACATTGCAGTCACCGGAAGAAATCGCGGCCTGGATTGAGGAACGGCGAAAGCGGTATCCGACGCAGGCGAAAGTGGAAGAGAAGAAAAAGGCCATGGAAGAGGCGAAGAAAGCACGCCAGGAAGTACAGCGGCAGAAGGATCAGCGAAAGCAAGAGTCCAAACGAGCGCAGAAGGACGGTCGGAATAAGAAAGCGCACGACAAGCAATCCAATGACCAACCGGTCGATCCCATAGATGCTGCAGCGAAGGCGAAGGAGAAGGCGGACAGACTGCGGCGAAAGCTCATGAAGGAAGAGAAACGGGTGGCCAAAGCCGAGGCAGATGCTGAAAGGGCTCTACTGAGGGCTGAGGCACTGAAAAAGGGATCAACCGATGCCAATGTAGATAAAAGTTCGGCCACCGCACAAGTCCAACCGGCTTCGGAAACTGGGATCAGGGCAGATGCAGATTCGGAAGATAAGTCTGTCAAGCCTGGGCCCGCTGCAGTCGAAGGATCAGAAGTCACCAACGGCGAGACGACGTCTGCAACAGATGTCAAAATAGACGCTGGGAAGCCCGAAGAGGCTGGGGACGAGGCCAACATCTCGTCTCAAGATGACTCCGATAGCAGCGATTGGACATCGTCCAGTGGGTCAGATTCCTCGTCGGATGAATCCGACAGTGACTCGGACTCTGCGCCGGAGGAGGCGACCACTCGACGAGAAGGACCGGAGCGGGTACCGCCACCCCCTCGTGAGAGTAAGAAAAAGCCATGCCATCACTTTGCTCGAACCGGTCGCTGCAGGAATGGAGATAGATGTCGGTTCTCGCACGAGGCACCTGAGCGAGGAAAGAAAGCGAAGCCAACGGAGCCGAAGGCGCGAAAGGGGCTTCTACAAGCGGTGAGCCTAGCCATCCCTAAGCGTATGCTCCTGAGAACGTGACTAACATGTGCAATTACTAGCTCCTGGACCGCCAAAAGGGAGAAGAAGACCGAAAGGTCATGGAAGCAATTGCATGGCTCGGGGAAAACGGATTCCTAGATGCGCCTAAAGCCCAAGAGGACACTAACAAATCGACAATGGTGACCGAAGGCACGGAAGCTCCGCAGCAGGCAGCCCCCAAGGACACAATCTCGGGGCAGGAAAATGATGCTGCCCCCGTGACTGCCTAGTATATAGTGTGGCACCATGTCGAAGGCCGTATCATAGTGTGCTGTATATACATAGCTAGACTAACGCATTATAGTACGTCTCGTGTCAGGCTCCATCGTGCTCGAGCACTTGATACAGTCCAGATTTTCATTAGTGACTCGTGCCTGTAGGCTGTATAGTGGGGAGTCATTTCAGTGTTCTCTCGTTGGTCCAAAACTGGGCCCAGACAAATCAGAGTTCGGCCATTGAGTATACTACGGAGTAGAAGCACTTCGGACGAGAGTGTAAAATTGCCATCGCACCATAGTGGCCACCCGAGCTCACTAACAAGGCGATGCGGCTGCAACCTCGGTTTGAGCCGACTATAGATAGTAGGAAGTTAGGAAGATGGGAAGGATGGATGGGTGGGATGGGTGGCGCCTCCCCGCTTCGCGCTGCGCTTGTGGGTTAGCTCAACTTGTTAGTGCTCTCGTAGATAATTTTTAGCTTCTCGCTGTACACTAAGTGAGGACTTCGAATGCTGGCATAAACGCTCGGACGGAGTTCATTTCCCATGATAGTCTAGACAAGATGGATGCCTAGCGAGGGCGTGGGTCTTGAATCACCATACAGGATTAGAATGCCTGCCTGACGGTCTCCGAAGGAGAGAACACAAGGAGGAAGGCAAGAAAAGTCTAGCCCATCGTGAGAGTAGTGTAGGTAGTCCAGGGGGAAGAATGATGTCGGCGTTAAGTAGAACGATAGACTAAGTCGATGGAGGGGAGGTTCGAGGGGCGGGGAGGGATAACCCTTAACGAATTGGGAGGTGAAGTGGATGAGAAGCTTTGTGTTTAAATTACTGGATAAGGAAAGCGTGAACTTTGGGTCACTGGTTGAGGAGCCGAGAGAACTGGATACTCCTAAAGGAGTACCTCTCCGAGGAAGAGAAAGAGATAAGGGCGAATAAAGAGGTTCGTATAGCAAGTACTAAGGAGGGATCTCGATAGTGTGGTGGGTGGCTTAGATCCTGGAGATGTGATGTCTCAGTTCATTGAATCGCTTCTGAGCTTTGTATTGAACAGTATTTTAGCTAGATGGAATAAATAATATATGGGAGTAGTCGGGTAGCTGCTTAGTTGGATACTACCGCAGGCCAAATTAATAATCGTGATCGGCCGCATCCACATGTCAGTTCCGCACCTCCTGATAAGATAGACTGTTGGACACTAACAGCCGTCCAGTCGGATAGCCAATGTTCTCTCATGATACTTGCATTCAATTTCAATAGAAAAGAGCAAGCAGAGAAGAACTTGTGTTACAGCACGTCAGAAAACAAATACTATCATACATCCAACAAGAGAGAAGGTTCCAGACAGACAGACAGTACTAATAACACGGTGCCCTCGAGCTAGTCCCGAACGAGGGCATCAGCAGCTCCCACAAACTTTGGAGCGGAGTGGAACATGTCGGCGAGGGTTAATTTCATTTCTGCCCAATGATCGTCCGCGTGCCCTGAATTGTTGCTGCAGGAATTGGGAAAAACGCCCCTGAGCAGATACCACCTTTTCTGCCAATAATGCCTCTCTCAATCGTATCGAGGGCTATATTTACTTACACTTTTTTCCAAGCGTCTCCTTGGCTTGTCGCTAAGAAGGAAGTCATTCAAAGTCCGGACTCTCGCGGATAGGTCATATAAAATTTGCCATCTGTCTAAGACTCTAAGTATGTATCTAGTGAGAGTTAGCCACTGTAGCCGACGAACCCCCGGTCGGGCGAGCGAAAAATAGTACCATTGGAAAGACGCTACACCCGAGTCGGGCCTGAACTCTCCCAAAATGGACGAGAATGAGGGGATCCGAACCGGACTTCCACCGGAAGATGAGGCCAGAAGAGAAGCAGTTGAGCGACTAGTGACGCCCAAGGGGGATTAGCGCAAGTGGAGGAGGTCCGATACAGCAGGTACGCCCGGTACGCTAGACCATAGGCTGGACTTGGTGTGGCCAGGAACAGGAAGGTCCGGATGTCTACTAGTCACAGGGTCATCCAATCCATTGTGCTCTGCGTCGGTCTGTCCGCAATGACAATGGATCCCCCCCCTCCTCCTCTCGTGTTTTTTTCCCACTTGATTTTCGCCGTCTGGGCCAGAGTCGGGCAATTAGTACTAAGAAGGTAACCTAACTTAAGCCAGGTAGGCAGTAGTGTGCGAGTAGACTAGTCTAGTATCTACTTAGTAACTTTTCTCCAGTCCAGTCAGTACTCACTGACTAGTAAGTATACATAGACATCCTCCTCCCCCCTCCCCGGTGGTTCGTTCCTTCCTCTTTTCTCTTCTTTCTTTCTTTCCCTTCCTCGTGCGATTTCCCCATTCGACGTCTGTCCTTCGTTCTTTCGTCGTCTGCATCTACTGACTCACCCCGGTTCACTCTTTTTGACCGTCGAGACTATCCTTCCTCTCTCTCTCCCACTTAGAAGTCATTCTTTTACTTCTGTACCACCCACACTTGCATCGCGTATTTACGCTTGTATATCGCATACTATCCATTCCCCGTTATTGTACCGAGTCATTCTACTACTCACATATACTTCTCCACCAACATCCATCAATATGCGTTCCGTCTTCTACCTTGCTCTCAGCGCCATTGCGTCTCTCGCGGCCGCTTCCGACAACCCGTTCAACGTCCCTGAGGGTGGCTACACCTTCACCGCGGGCAGCCCGACTACTCTCACCTGGGACCCGACTACTAATGGCACCGTCACCCTGAGACTCCAGTGGGGTGCTGTCTTCACCACCACCACGGGCGAACTTATTGCCGGTAAGCTTCCGCTATGGATATGGTGTGAAAAACTTCGATCAGATAGGTGCTGACGAGACGATTTAGGGAGCATCGACAACTCTGGTAGCTACTCTTGGACTCCTTCTGCCGATCTTGCGGCCCGCTCGGACTACACCGTTGAGATCATCGATGATGATAACACGGACGATGTCAACTACACCCCGCGCTTCTCGGTTTCTGGTGCTACTGGAGCGGTGACCACCAGCACTGCCTCGTCAACCACGTCTTCTGCTTCCAGCACTAGTTCTTCCACCGACCAGACCTCCACCGTGAGCGCCACTACTTTGTCTACTACCACCTCGAGCGCTAGCTCTTCCACCTCGACCACCACGTCTGGCTCGAACTCTACCGTTTCGGCGACGTCCTCCAAGACTGCCTCGTCCAGCTCTTCGAACACCGCGAGCTCCAGCGCTTCTACTGCCAGCGTCACCACGGTGTCCACCAATGCTGGTATGGCCAACCAGGCCTCTATTGGCATGATGGCCCTTATCTTTGGTGCTGTTGCGCTCATCTAAAACTACGACGTTCTGATTCTTCTGCCCGCCTGAGGGCTGCCAACTCCGTGGTCGGGTGATGATACCTTTTTTCTTTACTTTCTGGTACATAGATTTTTGAGCACCTTTTTTTACGCCTTCTTGCATCCCCCCTTTTCCTCTTCTCACGCCCTCTTTGAACTTTCTTCTTCGCGTGCCCTGTTGGATTGTCAAGGATTGCATGGACCTTTCCCGTTGCTGAAGAGTATCCTTTGTGTCTCGGAAAAAGATGTTACAGATCCCGGCTTTCTTTGCCATTTTCGCTTTTGGCGAAGGTATGGGTATGTTAATTATTACTACGACATTGTTTTCGTGCCTCCGGATGGATGGACCTAATGGGTTGGACATCGGACTTTACGGAGTATGTAGATATGGATTGTGTAATGAATGACTACTAGCCTATCATGCATGCATTAGACAGATGACTCGGGGCGCCCCTGGACGAAGGGGTCGATGCGTCGTAGCTGTGTGTACACGGGACCTGCATGATGAGCCCGGTGAAGATTATGACGGGGTGGAGATGGGCATACCTTGCATGGCCCACTAGACTGCAGAAGACCGTCTGGGATAAGTTGGGGACATGCAGGGTAATGCTTGAGTGGAATGGAAAATTCGAAGGATTATAAGACGATATATTGATGAACCCAGGAAAACGAATCCGACAAGTACGTAGCCTCGATAGATGGAATGACTTAATAAACAAATACCCCATAAGTAGGGCCGAGCAATGCCGGCTAACAGATAAAGTGAAACAAAACAATCTAACTATATGATAGGGATAGATCTAGAATATTATAGACTCCATCCCCTCAACCCTTTCGAAATTAAGGCCGGTAAGTTAAAAAAAAAAATAAAAAATAAAAACCAAGAACAACAAAATTAAGCGTACGTAAAATGACAAGGCGCGAAGAAAAAAACGAAGATGATCCAGACAGACCCATTAGGCAAAAAAAGGGCTGCTGGCTGGCTGGGCTCCACGGTAATCAAACCAAACCGTTAAATAAAGGGTCCACCCGAGTATTTATCCACCGACGACGGGCAAAACTTCGGTGTGTGGAGAGAGGCTGACTGACTCTTGAAATTTGATTTGAGATGGGTAATTTGATTACACTGTAAGTTACTGGGCGATTTTTTTTTCTTTCTTTCTTTTTCACTTGATGATGGAAAAAATATTTCTTTTGTTGTACTGTATTTTATTTATGGATGTTGTATTGAGGTTTAATTTTGATATTATTATCAAATATTGGTTGGTGAATGCAGTATATTTATTGATTGGGATTTGCTTCTTTGCCAAGATGACAGACAGACACAGATGGATGAATCGGGCCTGCTTTGTTTGTTTGGGGGTTGTTTTTGGGACCTGCAAGGCACGTGAGGGTTGTCTTGATTTTTGGTTTCGGGTGAGTTCCATGGTAAAGGGACAGTTCTTGCCCGAGGAACCATATTTTGATAGCTGTCCCTATTATAGATAGATTCTTTATGTTTTCTACCCCTGAGACAGACGGTGATGTAAGGATGGTTGGGAGAAATATGGGACTTCGTCTCGAGGAAAGATTCTTTGTTTGTTTGAGACTGTCTATCTGTCACCTGAGCAGGGGCTGTATTGTGTGCATGTTATGCCATGATACTAAGCCAGAATTTTGTGCAAACTGCAGTAGTTACAGCAGCTGATATCGGAATTGATGAAGAAAGTCAGTCCGAGAGAAAATCAGGGAAAAACGACAAGCACGGATGTAATCGATATTGGGATTGACTTGATCGGCGGGAGACTTTCATTTAACTTGTGCGGGGAGGAATATCATTGGTGGGTTGGCGTGAGGGGATAGGGGGAATCTTAATTTCCGTTGGCACTTCAAAGTATTCAACTTGGATTTGTGATTATCGTTATCTATTATTTAAGCACTTTGGAGCTGTGCAATGGTCATCGCTATACTCATGCATTTTTGATGATCTCGTTCCATCAACCCGTCCGCAACTTGGCGCAAGGTCTCTACGTACGGATCATCGCTTATCTGTGATGCGATCTCGGATAGAAGTTTTCCGTACGCCCAGATATCGTTCTGTTGGCGTTGTTCAAAGGGAAGATCACACGGAGATATCGTATTTCGAACTTCGGATGTACACCATTCACGCGTGAACCCGCTGATGTCGATGAGCACTGCGTTTCCGTCGGCATCGAGAACGATATTCGACGGTTCCAGATCCATGTGAGATTTCTTTGCCTCGTGGAAGCGGTTCAGCGCGGTTCCGATCTGGATGGGCCATTGCTTCCAGCGGTATTCTGTGACGCGGCGGTCGGAGAGGACCCGCTGTAGTGTCCCTCCGGGATATGCTTCTAGTAGAATGCCCGTCACAACTAGTGGTAAGCCGGTGTCCCAGTCAAAGGTCTTGTAAGGGTTCGTAGATACGGTAATCCCAGCTGCCTGTACTATGTTTGGTACTCCAGCGAAGTAGTTGAGGTTCTCCAGTTCCTTGCGAATGACCTCGGTATCGTGACGTCGATAGAGAGGGCGGTCCACTATCTTGAGGACGTAACGCGTTTCGCGGTGGTAGACCCAGAATACCCCGGGCGTGATTTCAGTAGCACCTGTCAATTCTTTGTGGTTGAATTGTCGGAAAGAGGGAAATTCGTCGCATGAAGGATAGGCGACACTGCGAAGGTCTTCTTGGATGTTGCATCTTAGAGCCGTAGTGGGATTTTGCAATGTGCCAGAAGCATCGTCGAGCTTGAGTTCCATTTCTGGACCGGTTGCTGTTGCGTCTCCTAGAATAACCTCTGTTACGGTGTGCGGGAGGAGAGGAAGAAATTTGTAATCTATTCGTCGAACAAAGCTCTGGAAGAACTCGCGCCGTTCACGCTTGGTGGTTTGCTGCTCTCCGGCGTTGTCGAGGGGGAGGTTAGCGGTCGGGCCTAGTAGAGTCACTCTAATCCACCATTTGTTGCCCTCGATGTAATAGATTAATGTTTGCGAGCGACTGATGGGTACCGCATTTCTTTCTGTCGTATATTCCAGCTCCTCGGAGTATGATTTGAGAGCAGTGCGAGCTGAGTATTTAGTCATATTGTCGTGAATGAATAGAGAAGTCTGGGATATCAGTTGGCCAATGCACGGTGAGTAACTAACTAACAAGTGCAGGGGACAGCAAACATGACTAATCAATGCAGAAGTGCAGTGGCTGATTAGTTAATAAATAGTTAGTATGACTTCTAATTCAATGCAAAGACACCATCGCTTAGCCACTGGTGCATATTGCAATTCAGTTAGTGCAGCATGATGCCCCATCATGTTGGGAACTCGACCGATGCACGAGCATAATGTTCTCGGACTTAGACTCCCAGAATGAAGTAGTTCATCCCGATGCATATAGTATTGTATAGTGGCCTATCTCGGGTGCCTATTGTGTATCCCCGAATCCCCTCAAACAAGCTTTCCCATTCCCCAGAATAGGCGACAGTATTTCTTAGCGCCGGGTACACGTAGTGAATGGATTTGCCCCATTCAAATCATTGAGTCAAGGTCTGTTTGTTTGGTTCGGAAGTGAATAACTAGTGGGTACTTCTATTGGGAAATTACAATGTGGGGATACTACTATTCACAGGCTACTAGGAGGGGTACCAGTTTGTCCTAGAAAGACTCACTTTGCCATGGAGAAATTATTGTTGACTTAGTCGAGTTTGGCTTGTAGAGTTTTGGTGAATACCGAAAATTTTGATTAGTAGTGCCCATACGTGACTTGACTTCTCCCTCCCCATAGGAAGAAACAGTTACTGCACCTGTGATAGAACAAGACGCCGTCATCACAAGCCAGACTCTAGATTGAAAGGCATTCCATGGATTGCCAGTAAGGAATGGCATGAACAGGAATTCTCCAGCTCCGCTTCTATCTAAATCAGGTCTCTATGGGTAATTCCGATCTATTAGAGATTATCCTGGTTCAAGATGAGAAGGGTGTCAGGAAGCTCAGGTAGTCAAGTTCGCACACTCCCCCATATAAGGGGTCAGATCGATCATCATGCAGTAGTTACTACAAGCACCATCAAGTTCCAGACTTTGGCGTTCATTTCTATAACATCTCCCACCCGTAAGAGTATATTTCAGCTATCTGATCAAGGGAGGAGACGTCTGGCAATGCTCTATTGCATGTCAAAAAGACCACCTCTCGTTAGAGGTACCTTCATAAGGCCAACAGAGAATGTGAGCTCCATTGGCGGTATTGCCATTATCAAGATTGATGCAATGGTTCGGATACGCCTCATTCATGATCAAAGAGGAGCATACATTAGATCAGGGAGACAACTCTGTTGGGAATGGAGAAGGTGTACGTGGAGCAGTGAGCAAGGTTCCCGTATACCAATTTACAGAAGTACCAACTACCATCGTCAAGCTGTTTGGCACGCCATTTCTGGTTATCCGAGCGACTAGAGTGTTCCCTGGGATATATTTTGAGCTGGTTTGATAAGTGAATCTCGGTTATGTACTCATCTGTATGAGCGATTGGCTTGCGCAAAGGGTCTTCCATAGTCAAGGTCAAGAACTTGGGTACCCAAATTAGTCCTGATAACATAGGCAAGATCGTTCAAGATTGTTCAAGATCGTTCTCCGGTTTGGACATCGTTAGAAATAGCTAAATCACTGTGTGCTGAGTACTGTGAATGATTGGGGTGGAATATATATTGAATATTGTGGTGAAGGTAAGAAATACTAATGATGTAGATTGGTGAATTCTACTGATAAATTTCTCTTTATAAGTAACCCCCGTGGGGGTGGGCTTCCAGTTGCTGGAGTGTCACTCAACTGACAACCACCTATACGTTTCAATGATGACATTACAACTTATATACGGGACGTAATATACGCATCAGTTATTATAGTCACAGTAGTTGTTCTGGGTCAGTCATTATATTAATGTTGATGGGAAGTGGTGGAACTGCAACCTCACCAAACCGACTTCTCTCCGTTCCCGATAAAAGCTCGACCAACGAAAGAGGATATATCAAGGTGAAGAGTCATGCTAGAATCCTGGACCAGATGTATGCCACTTATATCTTCAGTTGTCAAAAACTGTAGAGGCTCTGAGAAAAATCTTGGCCGAGCTTGGAGCGATCAGATATATACATATGTATATCATATAATGGTCTCCCTTATTCTGGACATCTTCCCACAGGAGAACGAACTAGTTCAATGGC